GCAGCCCCGCCTGTTCCACCTCGAGTACAGATTTCGCCCCTGGTATACATTTGCACAGATACCCAACAACGCTCCTCCTGACCCCTGACGCGATGTCGGCGTGCCCACAGAATTACACTGCTGAGAAGCTTCATTGGTCGTCTCCGAAGCCTCAAAAGGATTACCAGAAGGCTGGAGCGACTCTGAGAAAGCCCGCCGCCTTCTGAGAAGACCTGCCCCTCTGCCTTCCCCCCTCGGCGCGCCGCCGAGCTTGGCTTCCGTGTCATCAATCGGATCTCCGGCGGCCAGTCGGGACGATCCCGGCACCCCCAGAGCGCTCTCGGTAAGGCGCAGGTGCTGAGAAGCACCTGGAGGCTGGAATTCCGTGCAGGAACCGACGAAAACGTCAGAAAACGTCAGAACACGTCGAACTTCACCCCCTCCGCGCGCCGCTAAATGCGCCCGCCCCGAGACCCCATCCTCCGTGGTTCGCGCAGGTTCTCTCCCTCTCTCTCTCTCGACTGGCTGCGGCGGGCGCCCGCTGGCATGGCGAGCGTCGCGTGCATGCCTGCAGCAGGCTGCAGGAATCCCACCAGCCCTCTGGACGCAGGCGGTTCAGCGGATCCTCTCTTCCAGCCCCAGTCTTCCCCTCGGGGCGGGGGGTGCGGTCGGGATTTTTTGCTGGGCAAGTCGCGAAGGCGACCCCGGCGACGCGCTGTGCCGTGCAAGCGGGCAGCTTGCCGCTCCGCACCAAGGGGGCGTGGTACAGTCGGTCCTAGGTGTGACTGAGTCTGGGTAAAGTCAGTGCGAGTACGAGTGGGTCTGAGTATGAGTGAGCCTGAGTGCGAGCGAGTCCAAGTGCGAGTGGGTCTGAGTGTGAGTGAGTCTGAGCGTGGGTGAGTCTGAGTTTGAGCGTGACGAATACAAACCTGAGTATGAGTGAGCCTGGGTGCGACGTAGTCTGCGTATGAGTGAGTCTGAGGGCTGGTGAGTCTGAGTGTGAGTGAATTTGAGTGTGAATTGGCCTGGGTGTGGGTGAGTCTGAGTTTGAGCGAGTCTGAAGTCGAGCGAGTAAATACGTACGAGTGTGAGTATGGTCGAATCTGAGTGTGAGCGAGTCTGAGTGTGATGAGTGAGTCCGAATGAAGAAGAGGTGCTGATCACTAAGTCCGCGTGCGAATGAGCGGGTCCGAGTGGGGGAAAGGGAAAATAGGTGAGCGAGCGAGTGAGAGGCACACAACTCCAGAGAGAAGTCTGGGGTGGGGAGCAGAGGCAGGCCAAACCTCCCGAGACATTCGCCCAATCTGACAGCGAATCCTGAAGTGTCCCCACCCGTGGCGGCTCCGCCTTGGGGTGCCCAAATGCCACGCCTGCTACACCGTGGTGAGCATTGGACCACGAAAGAAAATACATCGGAGGGACAGAAACGCACAAGCCGCCCCAGGCATCCCCACAATATACCCTGCAGGGTCCCCACCCCCGGTGGCTCCCCCTTGCGGTGCCCAAATGCCTTGCCTGCTATATCGCGGTCACCACAGGACCAGCAGAGGAAAAAAGCTTCGGGTGGCAGAAACAAGCAAACCGCCTGAGACGTTCCCACAAACCGAAAACAGAGGGAGTCGGGCACGCAAACAGGCGAACCGCCTGCGACATCCCCACCGTCTGGGCGCGAAACCTCGACTGTCTTGACCCTTGGCGCCCCCCCGTAAGTGTACTGAAACCAGCGCCTCGCCAGAGACATCCTCTGAATCTGCTCCGACAGCAGAGGGTGTCGGGCACGCAAACAGGCCAACCGCCTGCGACATCCCCACCGTCTGGGCGCGAAACCTCGAACGTCCTGACCCCTGGCGCCTCCCCTCAGGTGTGCTGAAACCAGCGCCTCGCCTGAGACATCCTTTGAATCTGCTCCGACAGCAGAGGGTGTCGGGCACGCAAACAAGCGAACCGCCTGCGACATCCCCACCGTCTGGGCGCGAAACCTCGAATGTCTTGACTCCTGGCGCATCCCCTCAGGAGTGCTGAAACCAGCGCCTCGCCTGAGACATCCTCTGAATCTGCTCCGAGAGGAAAGGGTGTCGGGCACGCAAACAGGCCAACCGCCTGCGACATCCCCACCGTCTGGGCGCGAATCCTCGAACGTCCTGACCCCTGGCGCCTCCCCTCAGGTGTGCTGAAACCAGCGCCTCGCCTGAGACATCCTCTGAATCTGCTCCGAGAGGAAAGGGTGTCGGGCACGCAAACAGGCCAACCGCCTGCGACATCCCCACCGTCTGGGCGCGAAACCTCGAATGTCTTGACTCCTGGCGCCTCCCCTCAGGAGTGCTGAAACCAGCGCCTCGCCTGAGACATCCTCTGAATCTGCTCCGACAGCAGAGGGTGTCGGGCACGCAAACAAGCGAACCGCCTGCGACATCCCCACCGTCTGGGCGCGAATCCTCGAACGTCCTGACCCCTGGCGCCTCCCCTCAGGTGTGCTGAAACCAGCGCCTCGCCTGAGACATCCTCTGAATCTGCTCCGACAGCAGAGGGTGTCGGGCACGCAAACAAGCGAACCGCCTGCGACATCCCCACCGTCTGGGCGCGAAACCTCGAATGTCTTGACTCCTGGCGCCTCCCCTCAGGAGTGCTGAAACCAGCGCCTCGCCTGAGACATCCTCTGAATCTGCTCCGAGAGGAAAGGGTGTCGGGCACGCAAACAAGCGAACCGCCTGCGACATCCCCACCGTCTGGGCGCGAATCCTCGAACGTCCTGACCCCTGGCGCCTCCCCTCAGGTGTGCTGAAACCAGCGCCTCGCGTGAGACATCCTCTGAATCTGCTCCGAGAGGAAAGGGTGTCGGGCACGCAAACAAGCGAACCGCCTGCGACCTCCCCACCGTCTGGGCGAGAATCCTCGAAGGACCCCCGACGCCCACCCCGTGGGGTGCCCAAGTGCTACGCCTGCCATGTCGCGGTGAGCATTGGACCACAAAGGGAAATTCGCCGGGCCCAACGGGCCAGAGGCGTGCTAAGATCTCCGGTAACTGCTAAAGAATACTTCTACTTCGCGCGCGCGGGGCGGCCCCTGGGGGTCCCCGGACGAAAAGTACTCCGGGCGATCCCCGGCAGACTCGGGTCAGAGATGGTTTTCCTCCTGGGCGCCGCCCCCGTGGCCCTCCAGAGAGCCCCAAGAAGGGCCACGAGGCCGCCAAGAGCTCTCCAAGATGGTTCAAGAGTGCTCCGAGATGCCACACGACCGTTCCAAGACGCCCAAGATGGCCCCCAGACGCCCCAAGACGCCTCCAAGAGCACTTCCCAGAGGGCCCCAAGAGGCATAATTCATTACTTTTCCTTAGGTTTTGGGCAGATTTTGGCGTGTCCATCTTTTCGGCTTCCCGGCGCCCCAAGACGGCCCAAGAGGCCCCCAAGATCGCCCCAAGAGGGCCCAAGACGCTCCCAAGAAGGCCCCAAGATGGCCCAAGAGGGCTCCAAGACGGCCCCAGAGGCATCCAAGACGGCCCAAGAGGGGCCCAAGAGGGCCCCAAGCGATGCCCCAAAGGGGGAACACAAAACAAAACTTCGAGCCCTCGGCCTTAAGAAGCCCCCAGGAGGCCTCAAGAGGCCCCTGAGAGGCCCCAAAAGCCCCCAAGAGGCCCTCGGGAGGCCCCCAAGCGACGCTGAAGAGGCCCCCCAGCGGCCCCAAGAGGCTCAGTCATGCGAAATGGGCCGGCGGAATGAGCGAAGCGATTCAATAAAGCTGGGGGACAGAAACAGCCTTTCCTCCTCCTCCACCTCCTCCTCTTCCTCCTCCTCCTCCTCCTCCTCCTCCTCCTCCTCCTCCTCCTCCTCCTCCTCCTCCTCCTCCCAGGCAAACCGCCCGAGACATCCCCACAATCTTGCCGCGAACCCTGCAGTGTCCCCTCCTCTGGTGGCTCCCCCTTGGGGTGTGGTGCGCCTGCTATGTCGCGGTGGGCAGTGGACCCACAAAAGACAGAGTCTGGAAGCAGAGGCAGGCAAACCGCATGAGACATCCCCACCGTCTGGGCGCGAATCCTCGAATGGCCTGACCCATGGCGCCCTCTCCGTGGGGTGCCCAGATGGTACGGTGTGAGTTAGTCTGAGTGTGATTGAGCCAGAAAGTGAGTGAGTCTAAGTGTGAGTGGTGAGTCTGAGAGTGAGTGAGTCTGCACGTGCTGAGTCTGAGTAAGAGTGAGCCTAAGTGTGGGCAGGTCTGACTGTCAAAGAGTCTGAGTATGAGTGAATGAGTCTGAGAGTGAGTGAGTCTGAGTATGGCTGTGTATGAGTGAGTCTGAGTGTGAGTGGCCACACTGGTTTAAAGAAGGGGAAGAAAAGAGGAGGTGAGGGAGACGTCTAAACAATAACCAGAACCCCATCTTAGGAGATGGTGATTAACAAGAACCCATCTTAGGATATGGGGAACGTCTTGTAGGAACCTACGAACAGGGAACTTGGAGGGAGGGTTGATTGCAACATCGTTGAAGCGCCTTGGGTTTATACTGAAACTCCTCCTCCTCATCATCATCCTCCTCCTCATCATCATCATAATCACCACCACCACCATCATCATCATCAGCAGCATAATCATCCTCATCATCATCATCATCATCATCATCAGCATCAGCATCATCACCACCATCACCACCACCACCACCACCACCACCACCATCATCATCATCATCATCATCATCGTCATCATCATCGTCATCATCAGCAGCAGCAGCAGCATCCCTCCTCCCTCCCTCCTCCCTCCCTCCTCCCCCTCATCCCTCCTCCCTCTTTCCTCCCTCCCTCCCTCCTCCTCCTCCTCCTGACGCCCCCCCCTCCCTCCCTCCCTCCCTCCTCCCTCCTCTCCTCCTCCTCCTCCTCTCCTCCTCCTCCTCCTCCTCCTCCTCCTCCTCCTCCTCCCCCTCCTCCTCCTCCTCCCCTCCTTCCCCAGTCCTCGCCCCGCTCCTCCTGCCAGCGGAGACCGCGCGGCGCCCGCGGGCGGCAGGCGGCGGGGCCGTGGCGCAACGGGCGCCGCGCCTCGGCGGCACCCGCGGAGTCCGCCATCGGAGCCCGGGGCGGGCGGGGGGCACCGGGCGGGGATTATGTCGGGCGTGTCCCCCTACAGGTGGATGTTCGACGAAAGATTAGAAATACCCCCAAAAATACCCCAAAAAGGCAGAAGAATACAAAAATTATAGCCGGAGTGCAGTATCCCCAAACAGGGTTTTTAGACCCACTGCGGTTTCCAAGGTCGATTGCGTGCCCGTCCAGTGCGGGCTGGCATGGCATGTTAAACATACCTCCTACTCCTCCTCCTCCTCCTCCTCCTCCTCCTCCTCCTCCTCCTCCTCCTCCTCCTCCTCCTCCACCTCCTCTTCATCCCGAACGGCATCTCGGAGCCCAGAGTTGCGAGGATGTCTCAGGCGTAACGGGCTGGACCGCCTCGCGCGCGGCATTTCGGACCCCAGAGTTGCGACGATGTCTCGGGCTAAACGTGCTGCGAGGAAGTCTCAGGCGAAACGGGCCAGACCACCTCGAGCGCGGCGTCTCAGAGCTCCGAGTTGTGGGGGCCTCCTGGGGCCTCCTGGGACCTCCTGGTGACTTCCTGGGGCTTCCTCCTGGGCCTCCTGTGGCCTCCTGGACCCCACCTGGGGCATTCTGAAGCCTCTTGGGGCTCCCAGGGGGGGATATCTAACATGTGGCCGTCGGGGCCCCCCAATGGGCCACAAGAGCAAGCAAAATCAACGAATCGACACCGGATGTGTATTAACTTGACACGTTCTGATAGGGGGCCTCCTGGGGCCTCCTGGGAGCCTCCTGCGAACCCCTGGGGCCTGTCCTGGGGCCTCCTGGGACCTCCTGGTGACTTCCTGGTGCTTCCTCCTGGACCTCCTGTGGCCTCCTGGACCCCACCTGGGGCATCCTGAAGCCTCTTGGGGCTCCCAGGGGGGATATCTAACATATGGCCGTCGGGGCCCCCCAAAATGGGCCACAAGAGCAAGCAAAATCAACGAATCGACACCGGATGTGTATTAACTTGACACGTTCTGATAGGGGGCCTCCTGGGGCCTCCTGGGAGCCTCCTGGGAATCTCCTGCGGACCCCTGGGGCCTGTCCTGGGCGTCCTGCGGCCTCCTGTGGGGCCTCCTGGGGCTCCCAGGGTCCCAGGGGGGATATGTAACATGTGGTCTTCTGGGCCCCCAGGCTGGACCACCTCTTGCGCAGCATCTGAGAGCTCAGAGTTGCGAGAATGTCTTGTGCGAAACGGGCCGGACCACCTTGCGCACGGCATCTCAGAGCTCAGAGTTGCGAGGATGTCTCAGGCGAGATGGGCCGGACCACCTCGCGCAGGGCATCTCGGAGCCCAGAGTTGCGAGGATGTCTCAGGCGTAACGGGCTGGACCACCTCGCGCGCGGCATCTCGGACCCCAGAGTTGCGACGATGTCTCAGGCGAAACGTGCTGCGAGGAAGTTTCAGGCGAAACGGGCCGAACCACCTCGAGCGCGGCGTCTCAGAGCTCCGAGTTGCGGGGGCCTCCTGGGGCCTCCTGGGACCTCCTGGTGACTTCCTGGGGCTTCTTCCTCCTGGGCCTCCTGTGGCCTCCTGGACCCCACCTGGGGCTTCCTGAAGCCTCTTGGAGCTCCCAGGGGGGGATATCTGACATGTGGCCGTCGGGGCCCCCCAAAATGGGGGGGGGCCACAAGAGCAAGCAAAATCAACGAATCGACATCGGATATGTATTAACTTGACACTTTCTGATATGGGGGCCTCCTGGGGCCTCCTGGGAGCCTCCTGGGAATCTCCTGCGGACCCCTGGGGCCTGTCCTGGGCGTCCTGCGGCCTCCAGAAGCTCTCTGGCGCCTCCTGGGGCCTCCTGGGGCTCCCAGGGGGGGTATGTAACATGTGGTCTTCTGGGCCCCCAGGCTGGACCATCTCTTGCGCAGCATCTGAGAGCTCAGAGTTGCGAGAATGTCTTGTGCGAAACGGGCCGGACCACCTTGCGCACGGCATCTCAGAGCTCAGAGTTGCGAGGATGTCTCAGGCGAGCGAGATGGGGCCGGACCAAATCGCGCAGGGGATTCTGAGCCCAGAGTTGCGAGGATGTCTCCAGCGTAACGGGTGGACCACCTCGCGCGCGGCATATCGGACCCCAGAGTTGCGACGATGTCTCGGCGAAACGTGCTGCGAGGAGGATTTCAGGCGAACGGGCCGAAACCACTCGAGGCGGGCGTCTCAGAGCTCCGAGTTGCGGGGGCCTCCTGGGGCCTCCTGGGACCTCCTGGTGACTTCCTGGGGCTTCTTCCTCCTGGGCCTCCTGTGGCCTCCTGGACCCCACCTGGGGCTTCCTGAAGCCTCTTGGGGCTCCCAGGGGGGATATCTAACATGTGGCCGTCGGGGCCCCCCAAAATGAAGGGGGGGGCACAAGAGCAAGCAAAATCAACGAATCGACACCGGATGTGTATTAACTTGACACTTTCTGATAGGGGGCCTCCTGGGGCCTCCTGGGAGCCTCCTAAGAATCTCCTGCGGACCCCTAAGGCCTGTCCTGGGCGTCCTGCGGCTTCGTGAAGCTCTCTGGGGCCTCCTGGGGCTCCCAGGGTCCCAGGGAGGATATGTAACATGTGGTCTTCTGGGCCCCCAGGCTGGACCACCTCTTGCGCGGCATCTGGGAGCTCAGAGTTGCAAGAATGTCTTGTGCGAAACAGGCCAGACCAACTTGCGCACGGCATCTCAGAGCTCAGAGTTGCGAGGATGTCTCAGGCGAAACGGGCGGTGTCTCGGGCGAAACGTGCTGCGAGGAAGTCTCAGGCGAAACGAGCCGGACCACCTCGAGCGCGGCGTCTCAGAGCTCCGAGTTGCGGGGGCCTCCTGGTGCCTCCTGGGGCCTCCTGGGGACCTCCTGGGGCTTCCTCCCGGGCCTCCTGTGGCCTCTTGAACTCCACCTGAGGTTTCCTGAAGCATCTTGGGGCTCCCAGGGGGGATATCTAACCTGTGGCCGCTTGGGCCTCTCCAAATGGAGTGGGGGGCACAAGAGCAGAAAAATCAACGAATCGACACCGGATGTGTATTAACTTGACACGTTCTGATAGAGGGCCTCCTGGGGCCTCCTGGGAGCCTCCTGGGAATCTCCTGGGGACCCCTGGGGCCTGTCCTGGGCGTCCTGCGGCCTCCTGGAGCTCTCTGGGGCCTCCTGGGGCTCCCAGGGTCCCAAGGAGGATATGCAACATGTGGTCTTCTGGGCCCCTGGCTGGACCACCTCTTGCGCGGCATCTGGGAGCTCAGAGTTGCGAGAATGTCTTGTGCGAAACAGGCCGGACCACCTTGCGCACGGCATCTCAGAGCTCAGAGTTGCAAGGATGTCTCAGGCGAGACAGGCCGGACCACCTCGCGCAGGGCATCTCAGAGCTCAGAAGTTCGAGAATGTCTCAGGCGAAACGGGCCGGACCACCTCTCGCGCGGCATCTCCGAGGTCAGAGTTTCGGGGATGTCTCAGGCGAAACGGGCCGGACCACCTCGCGCAAGGCATCGCAGAGCTCAGAGTTTCGAGGATGTCGCAGGCGAAACGGCCCGGACCACCTCTCGCACGGCACCTCGGGGCTCAGAGTTTCGAGGATGTCTCAAGCGGAACGGCCCGGACCACCTCTCGCGCGGCGTCCCGGAGCGCAACTTTAAGAGGATGTCTCAGGCGAAACGGCCAATCCCGGCCAATTCAGAAACGAGAGTTGTGAGGATGTCTCAAGCGAAACGGCCCGGACCATCAAATTTTTGTGAGGATATCTCTGCTCCGACTTCCCTCGGCCGGAGTTAGCTTCTATCACAACAGCACTCCGTTCAGCAAGCTGTTTGGGGAAAAAAACATAACGAATCGAACCGGATGGGTATTAACTTGACACGTTCTGATAGGAAGCCTCCTGGGGCATCATGGGGCTCCTGGGGTGGGGCTCCTGGGAATCCTGCGGCCTCCTGGTGCCTCCTGGGGCCTCCTGGGGACCTCCTGGAGCTTCCTCCTGGGCCTCCTGTGGCCTCCTGAACTCCACCTGAGGTTTCCTGAAGGCTCTTGGGGCTCCCAGGGGGGATACCTAACCTGTGGCCGCTTGGGCTCCTCAAAATGGGCACAAGAGCAGGAAAAATCAACGAATCGACACCGGATGTGTATTAACTTGACACGTTCTGATAGAGGGCCTCCTGGGGCCTCCTGGGAGCCTCCTGGGAATCTCCTGGGGGCCCCTGGGGCCTGTCCTGGGCGTCCTGCGGCCTCCTGGACCTCTCTGGGGCCTCCTGAGGCTCGCAGGGTCCCATGGAGGATATGTAACATGTGGTCTTCTGGGCCCCCAGGCTGGACCACCTCTCGCGCAGCATCTGAGAGCCCAGAGTTGCGAGAATGTCTTGTGCGAAACAGGCCGGACCACCTTGCGCACGACATCTCAGAGCTCAGAGTTGCAAGGATGTCTCAGGCGAGACGGGCCGGACCACCTCGCGCAGGGCATCTCAGAGCTCAGAAGTTCGAGGATGTCTCAGGCGAAACGGGCCGGACCACCTCTCGCGCGGCATCTCCGAAGTCAGAGTTTCGAGGATGTCTCAGGCGAAATGGGCCGGACCACCTCGCGCGCGGCATCGCAGAGCTCAGAGTTTCAAGGATGTCTCAGGCGAAACGGCCCGGACCACCTCTCGCACGGCACCTCGGGGCTCAGAGTTTCGAGGATGTCTCAAGCGAAACGGCCCGGACCACCACTCGCGCGGCGTCCCGGAGCGCAACTTTTTGAGGATGTCTCAGGCGAAACGGCCCGGACCACCTCTCGCGCGGCGTCCCGGAGCGCAACTTTTCGAGGATGTCTCAGGCGAAACGGCCAATCCTGGCCAACTCAGAAACGAGAGTTGTGAGGATGTCTCAAGCGAAACGGCCAAAACCATAAAATTTGTGTGAGGATGTCTCTGCTCCGACTTCCCTCGGCCGGAGTTAGTTTCTACCACAACAGCACCCCGTTCAGCAAGCTGTTTGGGGAAAAAATAGTCCCCATACTATTTTTGGACTATCTTTTGCTCACTTCTAAAATATTCTTACTTTTTCGTCGAAAATCCCCCTGTAGGGGGACACGCCCGACTTAAGGCGGGGAGGGGGCGGGTCCCGGGCCTGTGGCTCGCGCGCTGCACGACACGCGCGCGCGCGCGAACCACACGCGCGCGCGCGCGAACGACACGCGCGCGCGAGCATCGTCGAGGCACGGCTGCGCGCCGCACGGCACGCGCGCGCGCGCGAACGGCACGACGCGCGCGCGCGCGCGAGCGGCACGGCACGCCCGCGCGAACGACACGCGCGCGAGCGACGCCGCGCGCGGGCCCCGGCTGCCTGTGGCTCGCGGCTGCACGGGCGCGCGCGCGCGCGAACGCGGTCGGTCGAGGCATCGGCCGCGGGAGCGTCCGTCGGGGGCACGAGCCCCTGCGCCGAGGGCCCAAGGTCCCGCGGGAGTGCCCAGAACGAAGAGCGCTGCAGAGCGGAGAGCCACAGCACGAGGAGGGGAGGAGGAGGAGGAGGAGGAGGAGGAGGAGGAGGGAGGAGGAGGAGGAGGAGGAGGCGGAGGAGGGAGGTGGGGAGAGGAGGAGGGCGGAGGAGGGCAGCGGAGGAGGAGGAGGAGGAGGAGGAGGAGGAGGAGGAGGAGAAGGAGGAGGAGGAGGAGGAGGAGGAGGAGGAGGAGGAGGAGGAGGAGGGGGAGGAGGAGGAGGAGGACCGCCGCCGGGGCGCGAGGCAGACGGGGGCCGCTGCCCGCCCTCCGTGGCCGGGCTGGGGCCTGCAGCCGTCGCCGCCCGAGGGCCCCGCGGTCGGGGCTGCCGCCGATCGGGGGGCGCGGGCGTCTCCGGACGCCGTGCGCCTCCAGGTCCGGGGATGTCCTGAGCCCTCGCGCGGGCTGTACCACAGCCGCGTTCCGGGGGCCCAGACCCAGGAGGAGAGGAAGGAGAAGGAGAAGGAGGAGAAGGAGCAGAAGGAGAAGAAGGAGAAGAGGGAGAAGAAGAGGAAAGGACGGCTCAGGCATAGACACTTTCCGAGGTCCGCGCGGCTTTGCTGGATAAGTGCTGAAGGACGATCTAGACAATTGCATACAAGCGAGCGCGCGAGTGACACCTTTACAGCTGGTCACGCTGCCCCGCAGGGGCAGCAATCGCAAGCAATGAACGCTATCGCAGATTAGTGGCGAGCATAGCACGCTGTCTTCGCAAGGCTTCTTCAATATCGTGCTCTAGGCGTAAAAAGTCAAAGCGCATGCGGCACCCCGGTTTCGAAGAGACGCAGTAGATGCTGCATAAATCGTGTTCTGTCCTGAAGAACTCCTTAATGCGCTTTATCGTTGCTCCCTCTATACGTTTCTTCTCATCCACCCCAAGCTCGCTGTCGTCGTCCTCTTCGAAGGACTGCTCACGCTCGTCAATTTCGGACTGCACGTCGCAGTCGGTCTTGTTCCTGACAAGGAAGTAAGGAACGTCCCAACGCTCGAGCTCGCCAACCAAAGCCATCTCTGCCTCTGTGAACCGGGACGCGGTCAGCAGCACCACCAGGTCGAAGTGGCGAATGCCCATCCTGCCGAGGTATGTCTGCTGCGGGAAGCTAGGCGTCCCCACCCCAGGCAGGTCCCAGATGGCACACTCGGCCAGCACGCCCAACACTCGCCTGGTGCTGACGTCCGCGACCTCCCCGCACCCGAGGCGCACCCTGAACGAGCGTCGGTGCCTCCCTCCCGGAGGCACGACCACCTCGGCCGAGGAGGAGGAGGAGGAGGAGGAGGAGGAGAGCAGGAGAAGGAGGAGGAGGAGAAGGAGAAGGAGAAAGAGGAGGAGGAGCAGGAGAAGGAGAAGGAGGAGGAGGAGAAGGAGAAGGAGAAAGAGGAGGAGGAGGAGGAGGAGGAGGAGCAGGAGGACACGACCACCTCGGCCGTGCACTCCTCTGCCCCGGGGCCCCCCACGCCGCTCAGGAGCACGCGGTCCCCAGCCTGCAGGCAGACCTCGCGGTGGTCCAGGCAGCTCCAGGCGTCCCTGTGCTTGACCAGGGTCCGGATCAGCTCCGCCGACGACGACGCGCGCCGCCCTTCGACGACGCGGGAGTCCTCCGATGCTGTCACCCTAAGGACCTGCTCGACCTGATCGAACAGCTTGTTGAACACCCCGGCTCGGCCAGGCCAGAAGGTGTACATCTTTGGCTGTCGTGTGCACTCGGTGATGCCCGTCTTCGCGGCACCCTGGTCGCGGGGCCTCGTCCTCCGAATGGCATTGATAAAGGACGACTTCCCAACTCCAGAACCGCCTGTGACGGCTACCTGCACACCACCTTTCCGATAAGCGGGCTGCAAGTAGTCCGGGACGGGATAAACCCGCGGATCCCCTGTGGGTTCTCCAGGCGTGCTGGATTTGTTGCAGATTTGCGCGGGAGTTGGGGGGTGGCTGGGCTCGCAAAGTGGGCCCGAGCTCACTGAGGGGGCCCGGCGGCAGTTTTCCGTTTTGTGAAGCCTTCAGGACAGCCCATGAGAGCTCCAGGAGGGCGCAATGACGGCTCAAGAGACCTGCAAGACAACTCATGACGTCCCAAGAGGTCACCGATATGACCCCAAAAGACCGCAAGAGGCTCCAATGCTGCTGCGCGCAAGGCCCCCGCAAGGCCCAATCGACGAAAATTCGCCGGCCCAACGGGCCAGAGGCGTACTAAGATCTCCGGTAACTGGTTAACAATTCTTCTAGTTCGCGCGCGCGGGGCGGCCCCGGGGATCCCCCGGCGAAAAAAAAACCGACCGCAGCCCGGGAAGGTCCCGGGAAGGTCCCAAAAAGGTCCCGGGAAGGTCCCGGGAAGGTCCCGGGAAGGTCCCGGGAAGATCTACTCAGAGATGGTTTTGAGGGCCTTTTTTCGACACCCCTCACGAGGATTGCGGCCTCCGAGGGGGGTGCACTCGACTACCCCGCCCCAAGAGGCCCCCAAGAGCCCCCCAAGAGGCCCAAGGGGGCCCCAAGACGCCGCCAAGGAGCCCCAAGAGACCCCCAAGAAGAGGCCCCCAAGAGGCCCCTAGGAGGCCCCAAAGAGGCCCCCAAGAGGCTTCAAAGAGGCCCCATAGAGCGCTCGAGGGCCAGCGGAATGAGCGAAGCGATTAAATAAGTGTAGTTGTTTACATCCATACCTTGCCGGCTCAAGATGGCCACAAGATAGGCTCCAGAAGTATTCGAAGGAGCCCAAAAAGCTACTGAGATACCCCCAGGCGGCCCAAGAGGCCCCCAAGACAGCCTCAAGACAGCTCCAGAGGCCCCCAGCTGGCCTTCAAGACGGACCCAAGACAACTCCAAGACGGCCCAAGATCACGATCACCTCAAGACCGCCCCAAGACTTAAGATTCGCCCCATAGAAGGTCCTAGACCCTAGACTGGTCCCAGCGTTCGGCCACATGTGTCTCAGCGCAAAATATCCCCCGACATTCACTGGTCGGCTAAGCGGCCGACGACAGCTCCAGAACAAGACCAACCAAAACGGCAGCTCAAAACCAGCCTCCAACAGCCCGAAGATCTACCTGGCCGGAGCGGGCCCCCGGAGCTCGCAAAACGCAAGCCCATCTCAGCAAAACCTCTGAACCCTGCTCGTCGATCCAGCCTTTCCCTCCGTGCCTTCCTCCTTATTCGCAGACATCCCACTCCTCTGCGCTACGCTCCGAAAATGCCCCACAGCGCCCTGGGGTGATTACTATACTGGAACCACGCGCGCGCGCGCTTCGCGCGGGCTTAGGTTCTGGTCGCGCTCGAAGATATCTCATCGCAAATTGCCGTCGGGTACTGCCAGGTAGACTCGGGAGTTCCCTTAAGGCTGGTCGTGGGGCCTGCCGCCATTTGATATGGTAACCCCAAAATCGTGTAAGGGGATCTTGGGGGCTTCTACGACGCGTCGTCTGGAGCTGAAGGAGATTAAAGGAGAAGTGGGGTGCCCGAACCTGGCTCCGCATTGCCCGGTGCCCGAGGGCCGGGACCTGCCGTGCATGTATATACGTACATGTGTGTGCATACGAAATGTGTATGGATGTATGGCTATATATGTGTATATATGTATGTATGTGTGGATGCTTGTGTGTATGTGTATTTACATATATGTATATATATATATAAATAAAGGCACATACAAATATAATGTGTGAATAAACGTGTGTGTGTGTGTATGTATGAATGTTCGTTTGTACATTACACAGTTGTATGCATGCATGCATATACAGACCGATGCGTGAATATACGAGTGGCACGTGTGTGCCCAGGCTCATACAAAAAAATGAAGGGGCGTTTGAAGCAAGAGGAAGTCGCACTCGAGCGCAAGTGGGGTTGCCACACCTTGCGATGTGTGTACCAGGGCCCCCCAGGAAGCTTCAGGAGGCCCGACTTGGATACCAGAAGAGGCTCCAGGAGGCCCCAGGATTGTGAGTGTTGTGTGTGATGTGTGCTCTGTGTTGTGCGTGTTTTTTGTGCGCTGTAGGTGTTGTGTGTTATGTTTGTCTAGCGTGTGATGTGTTGGGCGTGGTTTGTGTCTCTGTGTGTGCATGTAGTTCTGAGCCCCCAGGAGGCCCCAGGAGGCCCCAGGCAGCCTCAGGAGGCCTAAGGAGACCCCAGGAGGCTTCAGGAGGCCCCAAGAGGCTCCAGGAGGCCGCAGGAGGCCCCAGGAGGCCCCAGGAGGTTTCAGGAGACCCCCAGGAGGCTCCGAGGCGGGGTCTGGGGCACCAGAAGGTTCAGAAAGCCCCAGGAGGCCCCAGAAGGTTCCAGGAGGCCCCCGGGGTCTGGGGTACCAGAGGGTATGCCGGGGCTCGATTTTGGGAGGATGTTTCAGGCGAAACCGCCATTCTCTGAGAATCGGGCTCCAAATTATTGAAACTACCATGTGTTTTGAAGTGTTATGTTCAAATGTTGGAATTGCCATGTGTTTTGGACCCTGACGTCACGATCTGCGTGAGGGGTGCCACCGATTTTCAGAATTTCGAGGATGTCCCTAGCGAAACGGCCAGAAAAATCGCGAACGCCCCGCGTACGCATTAATCGCCTCTGAGCTCTACTCCCTCGGAGAGGTGCGTCTGAGAATATATGTGTGTGCGTATATATATATATATATATATATATATATATATATATATGCACACGCATCTAGTTACAAGCCTTCGGACCATCATGCCACGGTGCCTGGGTTGTGTGTCAGAAGCCTCTTGGGTGTTCGTTGGTACCTCGTGGGAAGCCTCTCGGAAACCTCGTCGAAGGCGGCTGTGAAGAGTCTTGGGAGCCGTTTTAGGGCTTCTTGGGGCCTCTTTCGGGCCTCTTGGGGGCCTCTTGGGCCTCTTGGGGGGCCTCTTGGGAACCTCGAGGCGCCTCGTCGAGGTTTCTTTGGGCCTCCTGGGGGCCTGGGTGGGCGAAAGGCTGGAAATTGTGGGTTCGTGTTCCCCCTCTTGTGGCCCTCTTAGGCCGCTCTGGGGCCCCTCTTGGGCCGTCTTGGGGGGCCTCTTGGGCCGTCCCGGGGCCCTCTCGAATCATCTTGGGGCTCCCAAGGGGTCTTTGACGCCGTCTTGGGGCTTTGTTGGTCCCCTCTTGGGCCGTTTCGGGGCGGTCTTGGGCGCCTCTTGAGTCGCCCAGAGCGTTGAAAGCCCGAAGCGGTAAGAACAAACGCTTCAAAAACCTGAGGAACTCTATGTTCGGGCATCTTGGGGCACTCGTCGGAGTCCTCTTGGAGCCTTCTTGGACCGGCTTGGGGGCTTCTTGGCTCGTTTGGAAAGCTTCTTGGGCCGTCTGAAACCCCTGGAGGCCGTCTTCGGGGTGGCTCGGGGCTGTCTTGGGCCGCCGGGACGGCTGTCTGAGCGCTCTGGGGGCCGATCTGCAACCCCCCAACAGCGGGACTGGTGGCCCAGAAGCGCACCGAAAAGGGTCGGCCCCGCCGGGACGAATTAGCTTTGCGAAGGACCCAACCATATCCAGCTGTAGGTGCCGCGATCGCGTGTACAATCCTTAGTGGGGTTTCTAATAGGGGGGGCGCGACATGTGTGAGAGTGTCTCCCTCTGTGGGCCACGAGGTGGTGCCTGCTTTGCAGTACGCCATGCAGGGCTCCGCAGCTCCGCAGGTCGCATGGGTGGGGGAGACGCGTGCGAAAACCGCCACCGGTGCCCTAGGTGGAGCTACCTGTGGGGCCACGAAACGCTGTCCTGGGCGGGGGGGATGCACGTGAACACCGCCACTCGGGCCTCATGTGGACCTCGATGTGGGGCCACGAAACGCCGTCCTGGGTTGGGGAGACGCATTCGAACACCGCCACTGCGGCCGTAGGTGGAGCTCCCTGTGGGACCACGAAACGCTGTGCTGGGCAGGGGGGAGACGCATGCGAACACCGCCACGGGAGCCTTGGGTGCAGGTCCCTGTGGGCCCACGAAACGCTGTGCTGTGCGGGGAAGGCTCATGCGAACACCACCACTGGGGCCTTAAGTAGAGCTCCCTGTGGGGCCACGAAACGCCGTACTGGGTGGGGGACACTCATGCGAACACCACCACTGGGTTTTGGCAGTACGCCACGCAGGGCTCCGCGGCTCCGCATGTCACTCTACCCATGTGGAGATCCCTGTGGGGCCGCGAACCGCTGACCTAGGTGGAGGAGACGCATGCGAACACCGCCACTACGGCCGTAGGTGGAGCTCCCTGTGGGACCCCGAAACGCTGTCCGGGGGGGGAACGCATGCGAACACCACCGCCACAGGGGCCTTAGATCTAGCTCGATGTGGATCCGCGAAACGCTGTGCTGGGCGGGGGAGACTCATGCGAGCACCGCCACTGGGACCTTAGGTGGAGCTCGATGTGGGGCCACGAAACGCTGTCCTGGGCGGGGGAGACGCATGCGAACACCGCCACGGGGCCTTAGGTGGAGCTCGATGTGGGGCCGCGAAACGCTGTCCTGGGCGGGGGAGACGCATGCGAACACCGCCATTGGGACCGTAGGTGCACGCCCCTGTGGGGCCACGAAACGCTGTCTTGGGTAGGGGAGACGCATGCGAACACCGCCACTGGGACCTGAAGTGGAGATCCCTGTCGGGCCACGGAACGCTGTCCTGGGCGGGGGAGACGCATGCGAACACCGCCGTTGGGGCCGTAGGTGGAGATCCCTGTAACGCCACGAAACGCCGTCCTGGGTGGGCGAGACGCATGCGAACACCGCTACTGGGCCTTAGGTGGAGCTCCGTTTGGGGCCAGCGAAACTCTGTGCTAGGTGGGGGAGACGCATGCGAACACCGCCACAGGGGCCGTGGGCGGAGCTCCCTGTGGGGCCACGAAACGCTGTGCTGGGTGGGGGAAACGCATGCGAACGCCGCCATTGAGGCCTTCGATGGGGCTCCCTGTGG